ATCATCCGTGCTCTTCAGTAGGTGTCTGCATCTAAAATAATTTCAATTCTTTTAAACAAAATGTGATATTTTGATACTCTGTTCAATGTGGAATTAAAAAAAAAAAGACATCATATTAGAGGTGAGTATGATTAAAAAAAGGTTTCTACAATGAAACTTCAGCAGATCACTGCTTCCATGTTCATTTTTTTTAGTTTAAATCTCACATGTAAACATTCTTAATTTGGGACTTTCCCAAACGGATCTTTTTCCGACTGCTTTCTATCAAATTAGATAATTTTTCCTTACTTTTAACACAGGGAGATTCTGGTGGACCTCTGGCCTGTGAGAAAAATGAAATCTCTTACCTCTATGGAGTTATCAGCTGGGGAGATGGCTGTGGCAGAGTCAACAAACCTGGAGTGTATACACGAATAACAAACTATGTAAACTGGATTAATGAGAAAATAGCCCCCGCTAAAAGTAGTTGAACAGTTAAGTATGCTAACATTTGAAGCAGAGTGCTGGAGTCTTTCGGTTTCAGTAAAGTGGCATAAATATTTTATTATAAGCTAGTATGAAAACTGTCATGGTAATTCTTAGCAATTCCAAACCAGACTACCAAAAGTAGGCCTACTCCATCTGATGTTGGCATCCTTGATCTGGAATTTTAGGGCTGTGGTTTGCTCAATATATGAGACTGTCTTTATTTGGCTCAATAAAACAAATATGTTGGGACAGTGCACCAAACTCTACAAATGTTTGTCTGGTTGGTGGAAAGTTATTGGAATATGTTTGTGCAGTTTCTGGTGCAGCGGTCATCCCCCAAACCAACCTGTAACGACATTGTCCTCGTGTTCTCAGATGAGATTAAAAAGATAAACAGGAGGAGCACCAAAAAATGAAATTCCCTTCCCCTCAAAGTGATCTCTTGAAGTTCAGGTTGAGAAGCACCAGTAGAGCAAGGTGGGTGAAGCTGCTCCGCAGCTAACTGCAACAAACCAGTTCTGGGGAAAAAAACAGAGGGTTTAGGTTTTGATTCAACCAAACATGTAAGCACATTTGATATTCCCCTGACATAAAATTAGGAACATCCTTCAGAGCTCTGCTGAATCTGATGTGCAATTTTCCAGCAAGGTTAATGCAAAACTTCTTCAAAGCACAGTTTTTTTGCTGAAAAATGTTGGCAGTCAGTGCATCTGACTTCAGGCCGATGCAGTTAGGACCTTTTGCAGACTGTGAGCTGCTCCTCACCCTGAGGATAGCAGTGGAAATACTTCACCTTGATGACAAATGACGAAACGTTTCTTAAATTTGACAGTGTTTTGAAGATGTCTTAGACTTTGTACTAACAAGTTGTTCAACTGTTTAGATAATTCAGAAAGAAGGTTTCTGTTAAAAGATTTTTAAACTGGATGGCTTGGGGAGCAGCTTGACATTTTCCTTGGGAGTTTGGTGATATTGTAAACCACAGGCTTTGCTGTCATGGTCTACGGAATTGTTATGGGAACAATCAAAGAAATTATTACAATATATACATAGCTGTTTAGAGGCTGTGGACTCAGCTGTGTAACCAAAAAAGGCAGAAAATGATTCAACAAAAAAAAATCTAGTCTGATAAATAAGAATGGAAAATGACAACTTTTTTTTTTTTTTAATACAGGGAACCTTTAGCCATGTGTACATTTGGAAGTGTTGATGTGAACTGTATTTCTTCTCTGATAGTGAACATTTTTGAATTCTCTTAAGTGTTTCAAGCAAAGCTATGGTTTAAGACATAGGATTTTAAAGTAGTGCCTGGATACTCAGATATGTGTTTTGTTTTATAGTACTGGCAGCATCTTCCTGGGTTTGTTAGTTGTGGTGAATGACTTCGGCAGTTAAAAGAAACTTTGTAAGGAATAATAACCAAAATGTGAATTGGTGGAAGTACAAATATATAACAATGCTAATCTAGATAAATGATGTAAACTGTTTAATAAAGATGTTTACCGTCCATTTCTTGGACGTAGTCTGTTATGTATGAAGTTACAATTAAATCTTTGAATCCCTCTGTAGGTTCTTCAACAGGTCGAGAGCTGGTAGGAAAATGAAATAACACTTCTCTGTGCTGGAAGGCATCTGAAAAACCTTGCATAAGGATCAGTTTCAGCTGGTAGTGCTCCCAGTTTTATACGTGTTGCACAAAATTTCCAGTAGACAGATACAATTTTCAGCTATGAACACTGTGAATACTAAGACCAAAGTCTTCAGTTCGTTTTTCTGAAGCACTAAACACGAGCTTGAAAAATTGAGATCCACCTCTGGGGTGTCGATTCCAAAACAAGCTGAAGACTCTGGTTGCCTGGGTTTGCCTTCCTGGCCGTTTGCAGTATGAGCCTGGCTTGCTTAACCCCATGAAATGAATGCGACTGTGTAACAAGACTAACTGTACCTGCTGCTGAAAGACAAGTACTAAATCAGCATGAAGGAACTATTTACTCTTCTTTGGAAGGGATTCATTTGGAACCGGTTTCCACACAAAGCTTATGCCATTCTGAACATCCATATCTGTTCTGTGACTTCAGTTTCACTTTGAAATTAATATCCATCCACACTGTGCATGCTTTTAATCATCTGGTGACTTTGTGTAAATATATATATTCTCTCAGTCTTCTCCTGCTGTAAAGAAGGTGGCTGTTTGATAGGAAAGGCATTAGACCGGTGTTTCTGACAATTTGTGTAAAGATTTTTAGCTATGCTGTTTTCAAAATCTGTGCTGCTTATTATCAGTATATAGCAACACCAACACAATCAAGAAAACATTTTTTTTTTAGATATATTGAATGTTCACAAGTGAAACAGTCTATTTTCTGCCCTCAGAGGTCTAAATGACAAATCTTCAGTTGATACTGTCATACTTTGAATGCATTAGAATTAATTTGTGGCTTGCAAAGCAGCCTGTTTGCCCACTGTTACTGCACTGATTTGGTGGAACTAAACTTCACCACTTGAGCATCTGATGTATGGCGACTAGCTCTGTATTAAATCCACAAACCCAGGCGAGGGGTGGCAAGGACATGCCCAGGTTAAGCGAGAGGTCCTTGCCTGACCTCTCACACCCCCGACATTGGTCATGATCCTATGGGGCACTCCAGCACATTCTGCCTCCTGCCCATCTGTTGAGCGTTACGCCGTGGAAACTCATCCTCCGTGTTTTTCTCCTCCTTTCAGTGCTTATCACTTTGGTTAAAATGCAAATCCAACTTAAATTTACTAGTGAAATTTTATCTGATATTTTTCCTTAAAATTTTTGTTGAAATTGAATTAGAATGCAAAGCCACTTGAACAAACACGTCCCTAATTCATTATGAAACGCACTGAAAGATGGCTTTATTAAATTATATGTTATTCCATACAAACTGACCGATTCAAAGGGAAGAAATAAATGCAAACATCTAAACCACCCTTCTATTATGCTATTGAAAGAAAAATGTGCTGTGGTGCTGTTTAAAAAAAGCTGAAGAACTAATTACCATCAAATAAGATGCAGTAGGATTATTTTTAGAACAATGGACTCTAATTAGTCCATTGCTCGTTGAAATAAATCTGAGGACATCATTAACGCATCTTATTCTAGTAATTGTAGCTGCTCCGGGTTTGGTGTAAGTGGGCTGTTACCTCGTGACAGTTGCATTGCAAAGAAGGAAAAAAAACACAAAAAGGGTATTTTTATCTGGGGTGGTTGGCTGTACGTCTTCTGGGAGCCAAGTAATTACAGTTTCTGAAAGAGAAATCTGGGCGTTATGAGGCAGCCGCCGCTGCTGGGGCGCGGGGGGGGGTCGGGCCGCCGGGGCCCGGGCCCCCGCCCCCGG